TTTTACGAATCCCATTGCGCGTCGTAAAAGGCTCAGACGACGCACAAATGCGCGTCAAGGAAGGCCCTGTCATAAAGAGAGACGACGCGCTTTTGCGCGTCATCTATAGACGACGCGCATTTACGACACTCATTTACGACGTGCAATTACGACGCGCGTTTACGACACGCAATGTGTATCAAGGAAGGCCCTGTCATAAAGGAAAACGACACGCATTCATGTGTCGTAACCTTACGACGCGCGTGTTAATGACACGCAATATGTATCAAGAAAGCCCATGTCAAGAAAGGCCATGTCATTAATGACGATGACACACATTTTTGCGTATCATAATTTTAAATGTTTAAAAAAATATATTTATATATTTATTAATTTTTAAATTAAATTTGCATTTAATGTCTCATAATAGAAATAAATTACCATATACAAAAAATAGAATCCATTGCATAAAATTTAATGTCATACAATTATATTTCATTACAATATATGAATTTGTATTCATCTAATCTACTTCGTGTTTCATAGTAACAATTGAAATGAAGAATGCAACACTTGCATTTGCAGCATTTTATCACTTTTAGCTTGAGCTTTCTTTTCCTCTTCTAACTCCAGAGCTATTCTCTTTCATCAATCCTGTAAAATTAATTCTTATTAAGACACTCTACTTTTAAACCTACCAAGTTCACAGGTAAGATTGCAATTCCAATTGGATTAACACTTGAATGCAACCTTGGGATCCCTTAAGTGAATGCAACATTCATTTTATTTATTTGTTTGTGTTTATTATTTAATCAGGCTGTGGTATATTCTAGAAAATGTGTTCAGGCAAAAGTTTTATCCACTTGCAATTCCACTTGGATCAACACCAAAAATACCAAACAAAACTGCAGAAATGGTACCTGTTCTATCCTTCGCCACTACACTCATTATATGTTTGAGCCTTCAAAACTTCACCACCAAACTCACCTGAAACACCATACACCTCTCAGTCCTATTGCAAATGAAAACCAAATATGATAAATTTACTTACCTGCTCCGTTACACTCTCCACGAACCCATCACAACCGAATATTTCCAGCCTCCATCAAGTCACCCTTACCTGCTCACTATCGAAACCAACATCACCAACATCATTAATTGAGCCAGAAAATAGAAAAGCAGGAGAAAAAAGAAATAAGAGTGACCCAAGAGGCCAAGACCTTCCTGCTACCAATCGAAACAAGAATAAGGAGAAAAAGAAATAAGAGTTTTTTTTTGTTGTTCCTGTGATTTTCGTTTGAAGCAAAATACCAAAATAAGTTTTTTGTGTTTTTCTCATGAATCAAAAGAACGAAAAAAATCAAAAAACTAGAGGCCACCACCCTCTCAAAGCCTACTGTTCATCATCTTCTTCGTCTCGAACATCTCAAACCTGCAACAAAACCGGAAAATGTTTTGCATACAAGACCTTAGCATTCAATAAAAGTTGTTGAGCTTGAATCTCCTTCCTTGATGTCTTCATATGCAGCAGAAAAAGAAGGAAAAGAACAGTGTGCATCACCATTGATCCGATTCAGAGGAATATGCCTAAAAGTAAAATACCAACCAACTTAATATATATAGTATATACGGCATAATTACACATCATCATGTATGTATAAATAGATATTATACCTGTAGAAATATTCTGGATCTGTCTCTTCTCTTATATCATGGGGACAACATGCATCCACTACCATTCCAATGTCTGAATCACCCTTCTTAACCACAATACATTCAATCACAAAGGTACTGAATTATAAGCAAATAGGAAAAGAAATAAATTATTTATTTATACACAGAAAGTAAATGAGGCATTACTGATTACCCAAGTAAATAGATTATTAAACTACCCTCATGAGCATTCACCCCTTATGAAAAACCCTCCAAAAAATATCCATTTAATTCCAAGTTGCAATGCAGTTAAATAAGATATCTGCACATATCAAATCGAAATCAGATTCACAATGTACATTGTCCATTATCTTCTTTGATATTACATATGCTAAGGACTTATGCACAAGTATTAATCAACTATGAAAAATGGTTTTATTATTGGACCTATTTAACATATGCATGGACTTATTAAGTTTATTCATGAAAAAGAATAAAATAGAAAAGCACCTTTAGCAATCTACCCAGTTTTAGCAAATGTATTAAAAATACAAGAGCTGTTGTACCTCAACTGCTCTTGCTTCAAAAAAGTGATCAGGTCTGGGCGCATGACCACCATCATGCTGAAGGATTCTAATTTTGCCTTCCTACAACCAAAAATAAATAATAAAAATAAAAATATAGACTAAAGTTTTTTTTATTAGATAAAGTACGACTTGGTTGCATAAACAAGACCACTTCCAGCAAGAGGATGAAAGCAAGCTACATTGACCTCATCTTCTGCACTCGGAAGCACACTCACAAGTTCCGTATCTGAAACTCTATATACCTGAAACCCAAAACCATATGTTCGAATAATAAACAACCATCAATCAACAAATGTGGATAGAAAATTAGAAAAAAAAAAGTAACCTCTAAAACTGTGTAAATAGATAGAAAATTAGAAAGAAAAGTGTAAAAGAACACATATGGCACTAAAACCTAAGACTGGTCTTTTGTTGTATGGGGAACAGAGCTTGGAATTCCAAAGGGAGATTTTCAAAGGGGAAATGAAGTGAATGCTTGGTTTTTTTTGTTTGAATTATATATTTTCTAACTTAATTCTCTCTCAAGGCTGCTCAATCCCTCTTTTCTTACTAACTAAGGAATAATGATTTACCAAAATACCCTCCATACTATTATCCTACAGGTTAATTATATTTGCATGTTTTCGCCCACATAAACATATAATCATGATTGGAGTCCAAAATAATGGTTTTTTATTTTAAATCGGTAGATAAAAGTAGTGAAGAATGAAAAAGATGCTTGGCTTCTGGATCAGGGGTCGTATAGTCAATTAGTCATCCTAGTGATCAGATTCTTCTTTTCTAATAGCCTTAATCTGGTTAAATAGAAGGTTTTGATTGGGATATAACTTCAAGGACATGTGGGTCCCTTTGTGTTTTAGAAGAAGAAGAAGAAGAAGAAGAAGAAGAAGTAGAAGAAGAAGAAGAAGAAGAAGAAGAAGAAGAAGAAGAAGAAGAAGAAGAAGAAGAAGAAGAAGAAGAAGAAGAGGAAGAAGAAGACGAAGAAGAGGAAGAAGAGGAAGAAGAAGAAGAAGAGGAAGAAGAGGAAGAAGAGGAAGAAGAAGAAGAAGAGGAAGAGGAAGAAGAAGAAGAAGAAGAAGAAGAGGAAGAGGAAGAAGAAGAAGAAGAAGAAGAAGAAGAAGAAGAAGAAGAAGAAGAAGAAGAAGAAGAAGAAGAAGAAGAAGAAGAAGAGGAAGAAGAAGAAGAAGAGGAAGAGGAGGAAGAAGAAGAAGAAGAAGAGGAAGAAGAAGAAGAAGAAGAAGAAGAAGAAGAAGAAGAAGAAAATGATGATGAAGAAGAGGAAGAAGAGGAAGAAGAAGAAGAAGAAGAAGAAGAAGAAGAAGAAGAAAAGAAGAAGAAGAAGAAGAAGAAGAAGAAGAAGAGGAAGAAGAGGAAGAAGAAGAAGAAGAAGAAGAAGAAGAAGAAGAAGAAGAAGAAGAAGAAGAAGAAGAAGAAGAAGAAGAAGAAGAAGAAGAAGAGAAAAAGAAGAGGAAGAAGAGGAAGAAGAAGAAGAAGAAGAAGAAGAAGAAGAAGAAGAAGAAGAAGAAGAAGAAGAAGAAGAAGAAGAAGAAGAAGAAGAAGAAGAAGAAGAAGAAGAAGAAGAAGAAGAAGAAGAGGAAGAAGAAGAGAAGAAGAAGAAGAAGAAGAAGAAGAAGAAGAAGAAGAAGAAGAAGAAGAAGAAGAAGAAAGAAGAAAGAAGAAGAAGAAGAAGAAGAAGAGGAAGAAGAAGAAGAGAAGAGTAATTAGGACATCAAAAAAAGACGTTAACATAATATAAAAGATAAAAAATAAAAACTATAATTGTGGTATACCTTGAAAGTAGACTGTCAAAATTAGAAAAAACTAGGATGTCAATTTTCTTTTCTTCATTTCAACAAACTGCTTTTTTTTTATCTGAATACCCGATAACAAACCTAAAAAAAATAAAAAATAAAAATAAAAAAGTCACTTGTGTTGTTACCCCACAATTCTTCTTATATGAACTGCTACAAGTATTATTAAAATTTGAGGGGTAATATTGACCTTTTGGCACAGTTAAGTCTACAAAACTGCAGCTTTCTGAAGGATGAGGGCAAAATGGGGATTGAATTATTGCTTGAACTGATCACCCAAACCTTGGGGCATCCCTAAGCTATGTGCAAGATCGCCCATTCGTGCTTTCATGGCGTAAAAAGGGGTAAAACGGTCAAATTCAAAATATTACTCCAAGGGTAAAATTGTACTTTTATATTATCATACAAACCTGGACACTCTTTTGATGGGCATCTCTATATGCTTCTGTAATCATAAGTGATAGTTTCTGCAAAAAAAATCAATGATACAATATATCATTCTTTTACTAATTTATCTGATTTATGAAACAATGTGTTTAACATTTAATTCAAAAAAAAAAGAGTAAGATACAAAAATATAAAATGAAATAATATATAAAATTACTCACTTCTGAACCCTTTCCATTGCAGCCTCTGTAATTTTTGTGCGTACAGGTTGCTGATTCCCAGAGAGAGTGACCTAAAGTTGCAGCTCTCAATCCAACAACTTCATGTGCTACATTTTTGTCAACAGCGGGACCCACTATGGATTCCCATTTTATATGCTCTTCTCTTACCTCTACACATTTTCTCTAAAAATGTATAAATAAAGTATTTGTAAAATAATTAATAATTACATGACATGAAAATGGAATTAGTTACCTCATCTGAAGACTCCAATTCTGATTCACCACTTGAGAGATGTGCAGCACTGGAGTTTGTATCTACAGGAGAGGGTGGGGTGAGGGTGGGTGGGTAGGTAGGGGTAGGGGTGGGGTGGGTAGTTCTGCACGAAATGGGGCTGAAAATTGTGAAACAAAAGTTTTTTGTGAAACAATAGTCTCTTGATGAGATGAACTAGCAGATTTGTGAAACAAAGTTTTGAATCTTTGTTTCTCAAGTGATCATCATAGTCCCTTTTCTTTATAGAATCAGAAAAAATCTGAAAATTGGTGTGATTATGAGTCTAAGATCTTTATATATATCTTTATATATATATATATATATATATATATATATATATATATAATTAGAAGATATACTGATATACTTGCCTCATATGCACATTGAATTTTCTTAAATGATTCACTTGCCAATGGGTTTGACAAGAAGCACGAGCTGCAATGCAATTATTGAAGAGATGACTCCTGAATTGTGGGATGAATGCAACATTCCATTGATTCACAGGACCTACCTTTTCTTGCTCATCCAAGGCGGTCCATCTGATTCCGTCTACATCGAGATCGAGCTCCGCCGACTATCCTTCCTCCAGAAAGTAGTACATCACGCCTCAAGGTTTGCTTACACATATGAATCATAATACTTGCATTTCATTTGTTTACTCATACTCATCTTTGTTTGTTTGTTTGTTTATTGATGGGTAATAAAATCACAAGGGCAATGGATTTGGAGAGGGCGATGCTAAGCAGGAAACTACTGAGGAAATACTCAGCAAAGGAAAGGGAAGGCCTTTTTCTACCAGACCACCTGCAGAAAGAAGCATTCCAACACATGATTTTGATCCTCTTGCCACTGCCACATGCAAAGGAATGGTTTTTTGCACATTCCTTATGTTCACATCAACTCCAGCATATGGAATAATCTGTTCAAACATAACAGCAGTTAATGGTCCAACCAATTCAACTCATTCATGCCTTTCTGTACATAAAATGTCAACACACTTGAGGAAATTGATGGAAGAATAAATAAATAAATAAATAAATAAACTTACTTAAACTAACTCCAAATCATTAGTCATAGCAGAAGTATGTAGAGTTGTACCTCGATGTTGCGTGTCTTGAGCAGTAGCTTCAGCTCTAACAATAAGAAGAATCTATACAAGTTCTCTACCATCTACAACATAATTAAATAATTTATATATTTAGGGTATAATATATATATATATATATATATATATATATATATATATATATAATATATAGCAGCAATATGGATAATTATATATATATATAATATTATATATATATACATATACATATATATATATATATATATTATATTGGGTAATAAACAACATAATTAAATAAATATATATAAAAATACCTTGTCTTGGCTGAACATGTTTATATCTTCGACAATGAAGATGAGGTCAAATCTTGAAAGAATTGTAGTCTGTAAGTCAATGTTATCTTGTGCAGTTTTGAGATCATCATAACGACCTGATGGAGGGTTTGTTGCAGCTAATACAGAAGTCCTGGAATTCAGAATTGTTGTTATTCCTGCTTTGGTTATGGATATTGTTTGTTGTTCCATGGCTTCATGTATGGCAACCCTAATATGGAAGGGTGTTGTAGAATATTTGTATAAAAAAAGTAAAAAGATAAGAAAGTTACAGTGTTGTTATCACAAATGACAGAAGTAGTAAGCCCAGCTGCAGATGAGCCTTTCCTGGAAGTGTATACAACTATAGGAGCAGTACGTACCTAACCTTGTCAAAAACAAAAATGTAATTTACTCAAATCCATATTTTTTTTAACTAACATTGTCTTGTAACCATTGCATTCAAAGAGAACTAAGTTTATCATCAAAAAAGGCTACACCTAATTGACTGGTCAATAGTGGAATGTATTCTATATGTGCAACACCATTCATAATATGAAATAATAATTATAATAAGTTTCGTGGTGTACGAAGGTGTAATTAAGCATTACATATACAAAAAGTAAAAACCAAACCTGCAGAGCAACAAGCAATACCTTGTGTTTATTTCTTTGTTTATTTCCACTTCTTCACAAAAACACCATTCATTCAAATCAAAACTTAACCAACAAAAACCAAAACCAAAAGAAATCAAATCTCCACACTCACATCACAGTCCACTCTCGTTCGATTCCTACAATAAAAATGATCAGGATGATGATGATTGAGGACATTTACGTCTTTTTTGCACATACAAGAGAGAGAGAGAGAGAGATTACAAGGTAAATTGGAGTAGGGTGTGGGTGTTAACGAGGTAACCTCTTATGGCTGAGAATCTCCTTGAGGTGATGATGGAACCTGCTGAGGCGGGCTTGGTGGCTCACAAGATTTGTTGCTTTGCTTGACAACATACAACTTAACTGAGTCACGTAGTTGTTGATAAGGCTTCCTGGTTTATTAGCTTCTGCCAGCAGTTTCATTTCCCGATTTCCAGCAAGGCTATTATGAATTGAACCCTAACATAAAACTCTTACCAAACAAGTTCAGGATGCCAGCGACGGGAAGGAAGAAAAGGATGTTCGCAAGGAGAAAGAAGGTCTGACGCCGGCGAGGGTGGAAGAAGCAGTGGCAATGGCGGCGAGGAGAAGGAAGACCGACCGCAGCGACGGGAAGGGAGCCGGTGATGTCTTTGACCAGAGTATCTGAAGAGCTTGTATCTTCACGGCAAATAAAGCGATTGACAGGCAAAATTCCAAGAAACATGTGAAGATCGAGCAAGAACAAACTCAGAAATCAAGTAAAAACAAAAGAACTCACTAATTGGGAAAGAGATAAATCTTGAAGCTCTTACCATATGAAGATATAGAAAAGATGATTGAAGAGGTCGATTGGGCAGATTTATAAGATCCCTTGTGGTAGGGAGGCAATGAATGGATGAAACAAGCCCTAACAAATCCAGGCGCAAATCCAGGCGAGAGGGATGAGATGGAAATACGAGAGTGTGATAGAAAAAATTAGGGTTGGATTTAGGAACCCTAAATCATGGCTCAAATTGATAACTGGGAGGTAAGAACCCTAAATCCTCAGCTCATTAGGGTCGAATTAAGAGTGTACGAGTTTGTTGGAACCAAGAATTAGGTTTTTGGTGGAGGTTATGGATCGAGGAATTGAGGAAGTTGTGGATGAAGATGAAGGCCCTAATTCGAAGAGGCGGGCAATTTTTGGGATGAATAGGCGTGGTTAATTTTTTGGATTTCATTTTTCCCCCTAAAAACGCGTGTTTCCTAAAAAAATATAAAGCGACACAGTTACACGACGCACAGTTTTTGATAGGTGCCCTCGTATTTTTTTTTCTAACACAAATTTAAGGGCACGCCAAAAATGGGTGTCTTCTATCCTTCAAATTTTGGAAAACTGACATTAATTTTTAGGGCACGCACAAATGCGTGCCCTTTATCCGTGTGTGTCATTAATTGCGCGTCGTAAAAGGCTATTTTTCTAGTAGT